GGGGGATATATATCCAACCTTGTGATGGGCTCCCCCTATCTCCCCTCATTTTTCCTTTTGCTGAACTTGTCTAAATATGAATCCCTTTTCAGTCTTGTCTTTCTATAATCACTGCCCTCCTTCAAACTCCCATGACATCATCTTCAATAATTATGAAATTTCCCCAACTCTACATTTCCCCATTTCAACCCATCTTTTAAACTGCTTTCACATAAATCTGCCAGCTCTGAGTGTTGTTGTAATTAACTGTGCTTAAGGGGAGGATTCCGCAGGGAAGAGGACACAAAGTTTCAGTCTTGCCAATAAATATTTAAAATGGTTTGAAGAAAAATAGATACAATCACAACAGATGTAATCATTATTGAAAACCAAGACCAGTGGTCAGGTGACTGATGTATTAAAAGAAATGTCCACCTGTTGTAAGTGAAAGGTAGCTAAATTTAGGGACAAAGGGGCTGTCTCCCCAGTGCCTGCAAAGGCCCCAGAGAGGGATTGGAAAGAAATCAGGCACTAAATGGACACCTATGGAAAACCCAAACTGAACATGCAAAGACCCCTAGCACAGGTGAAACCTAAAACGGAGCCTCCACCTAGGACCAAGGCATCAAACAGACGGGCCTAACTCAGCCAATGGGGTCAAACAAGAGCTGCAACCACGCCTACCCAGCCAGAGGTGTTAAATACTCCAGTTGTGGGAAGGCCAGATATCTTTTTACTCCAACCCTGTTCAGCGACAGGTGGAGGGAGGGGGGTCTCTCCCCTTGCAGACACACGTGCCCGCTCGGGGCCTACTTGGGGCCCACATGCTCTTGTTCTCTTGACCCCTTTGTTCCCAGGGATCCCCCAAATTCACATGTGTGGGCGTTCTTTTCCACGTGGTTTTTCATGCCCAGTTGTGAACCCCAGCGCGGCTTCCACACAGCTTGGCACGCTGTCCAGAAATAGCGTGAACCCCTTTGAGACTGAAACCGGCAACTTTTCTTTTCCTTCATAAAACTCACTTGGATTACCAACGTGTTTCTGTGACGTGAATTCTTTCAGCGCCGTGTAGCCAGAACCGAGGTTTACCCCAGTCCAGAAACCTAACATTGAAAATGCAGCTAACGATTCGGTGCCCAATGCGAGTGTCCCTCTTAGAAATGCGGCAGCAAAACTCCAGCCAGTGGGGAAAAAAGTAGTGAGCGAGTCCCTCACTCTCTGCCTGCTCGGGGATTTGGGTGAGCATTTAGATCTCTACTAGGCTGCCCCGCCACTTGTCTGTTAATTTGTCATATTGTGATGACTTCTGTGTTGTGGTGATGCTGGAAACGATGTCAATGGTATTTCAAATGCTAATAAGATCACCCAAAGTGACCAGGTTTCTGCGGAGCTTCCAGACTAAGGACAGACGATGAAGAAGGAATAGGCTGTCCACTTCTGAGGAATTAGCCACCGAGACCTTATGGACAGCGTTGAAACATTGTCAGTACTGCAAACCCCATGAAAAGAAGTAGAATATTGTCAGAGGTAGTGCCAGCAGATGAGGCCCTCGGGCTTGGAAGGCACTCAAAATAGGACCAAGGAAGTGCTGCCTTCTCAAAGTAGAGTCCGTCCTAACAACACGAACGGACTAAAAGGCTGTGGAACACAGACTTCGGGCCCTTCATTTGGTGATGGCACATGATTTGAAATGAGAAGAAACAGTTGCGAGCATGAATTAATCACAGAGATTTGGAATGCATCAAGAATGAATATAGGAAAATTGGATATCCTCAAAAATGAAATGGAAGCCATAACAATCAGTATTTGGGGCCTGAGTGAGCTGAAACCGACTGGTATTGGGCAATTTGAATCAGAAAATCATGTGGTTTACTATGCTGGAAATGAAACCATCAAGAGGAATGGCATTGTAGTCATCATCAAAAAGGACTTTCAAGATTTATCTTGATGACACTCGAATGACTAATAAATACACGAGGAAATGCTTTCATTCACTAGCCATCAGGGAAATACAAGTCAAAACAGTCATGAGATACCATCTAACACCCATCACCATAGACCAATTCAAATAAAACTGAGAACAGCAAATGCTGGAGCGGGTGTGGAGAGATTGGAACTCTCAGTCACTGCTGATGGGCTTGTAAATACGTACAGCCACTGTGGAAGGCGATATGGTGAGTCCTAAAGCAGATGGCAGTTGAAATCCCACATGACCCAGCAATACCATTACTGCAGCACATGCCCCAAAGAAATAAGAAGCAGATCACATGTGCTCCCCTATGTTCATTACAGCACAGTTCACAATAGCAAGAAGTTGGAAACAGCCTAAATTCCCATCAGTAGAAGAACAGATAAGAGACTCTGGTATATGCACACAAAGGAATACTACTTATTCCTTAAAACAGCAATGAAACCTTGAAACACCTCGTGACATGGAAGGATCTGGAAGATGTAATGCTGAGTGAAGCTAGTCAACCACAAAAGGGTAAGTACCGGATGAGCCCATTGCTGTAGGAACAGGCAACAGGACTGGCACAAGGTCAGGCTTGCAGGGCATCCAGTCTGCTGGTACGGTGGTCAGACAGCTTGGTAGAGAGCCTGACTGGTGTCAATGAACCAGATACCATCCTTTCTAGGTGTGTGTCTTGTATGACAACCCAATGTAAAGAAAACCAAAATCCTCACAACTGGACCATTAGAAACATCATGATTAATGGAGAAAACATTGACGTTGCCAAGGATTTAATCTTATGTGGATCCAATAAATGCTCATGCAAGCAGCAGTCAAGAGATCAAATGACACATTGTGTTGGGTAAATCTGCTGCAACAAGACCTCTAAAGTGTGCCTGATGCCAATGCTTGGTATTTTCAGTAATCTCATTTGTGTATGAAAGTTGACCATGGAATAAGGAAGACTGAAGAAGAATCAAAGCATTTGAGTTATGGTGCTGGTGATGAATATTGAAAATATCATGAACTGCCAGAAGAACAGACAAATCGGTCTTGGAAGAAGTACAGCCAGCATGCTCCCCACCGGCAAGAATGGCAAAATTTTGTCTCCCGTATCAGAAGAGACCAGGGGAATCGATGCAGATTAGCTGCTATCAATGGGCTCAGACATAAGAACAATGTTCAGGCTGGAACAGGACCACGCGGTGTTTCGATCGTTTGTACAAAGGACCAATCCGAGTCACAACGGACTCGATGACACCGAAGCACAACAGCTGGGCTGTCAGAAACTCAAGTTACAGACCAGGTTCTTCATGACCCTACACGCAAAATTGTGCAATAGGACACCGTTATGGTGAAAGAACAATGAACGTAGAAAAGGAGTTGTGTGCTGGATGGATATAAATTGGATGTACAAAACTCAAATGTACTACCTCAAAATTTGCATTCTTTAACAAGGGAGCATTTTAAGGGTCAAGCCCCCTTTACATTCAAATTTCATTTAGTACTTCATATTGCCATAATTGGCCTTTCAGTTCATTCCAATTTATGGCAATCCTGTTTATGCATAATATAATTACTTGATAGAGTTTTCAAGGCCTTCTGGAAGCAGATGGCAAGGATTGTGCTTTAAGGCTTCTCTGGGTGGCTTTAAATTATATATATATATATATTTGGCTAGTAGTTAACTGCTTAATCATTTGCATTGCACTTTCTCCACTAGATTGTTAGTTTCTTTACTGTAAAACCATCTCCATAGCACCTATAATAATACCTCAGCATTTAAAAAAGCTTTGATAAAGGAATGGTTGCATTCTCCATGAATATAAAGTCAGACCTGAGTTCTAATGTATTTTAGCATTGAGATTTCCAGCATATTTGCAACTGTGTTGCAAGGTCTGGGTATGCATCTTGCTGCTCCCTGCCATCCGTGTCTATCCCATAAGTGTTGGAGCTGCAGCAAATATAGCAAGACATACAGTAATTCCACCATTTTGCATGTGCAATTCAGTGACCCTGTTTGTATTGAATCGTACAACCATTCTCACCTTCCTTTATTGACTTGTCCCTCCCTCATTAACATCTACTCACTACTCCATATCTTTTGAGTTGCTGTTACCAATTTGATCCCCAAACAAAAAATCATTGCTATTGAGTTGATGCTGAATCATAGTGACCCTATAGGACAGGGTTAAAGTGCCCAAGACTAACTCTTTGTGGGAGTGGAAAGCCCCATTTTTCTCCTGATGATCAAGAAACTGCTGGTGGTTGCTGATACTGACCTTGTACTTAGCAGCCCGATGTGTATCCACTACATCCTTTGCTCTTAAATGGGTGGCTTTTTAAAGTTTACTTGTTATGCTAAATCATGGCATGATTGGATTTTAAGAAGACTTCAGGAAATATTTTTGGTTTAAAGTTTAAAGATTATGTCAGGGCAATAGTTTCAGGGATTCGTTCACCTCCCATGGATCCAGAAAGTCTAGAGTCATGAGAATTTAAAAGTCTGCTCTACATTTTCTTCCTTTTCTTCAGCATTCTTCTGTGGAATCTCTAATCAAACACTTCAGTAGGAGTAGCCTAGCGCCATATAATTCTTCTGGTCTCATGGCAAAAGAAGCCGTTGTTCATGAAGGCAATAATCCATACCTATCCTATTGTCTTCCTATCCTGACTCTCTTTCTCCCCCATTGTCCCAGTGAAGATCTGTACTCATGATAGTTTACCAGGCTGGTCAACTTCCCCTCCATAAACACACAAACATGAATGATCTAGTTAATTCTTTCTCCTCTTTCTAAACTTGAAAGCCATTTCCTGGAGATTAATCATTCTCTTGTACAAATTTAGAAAGTCACGGGAAATTACCGATGAGGTCTGTATCATATTTATGATGAATTTTAGCAAACATTCCTAATGTCATTCTGATAAAAACAAAGTAATACACACACATGTGAGTCACCAAACACATGGTAAGGAGACTGTGGTAACCCTTTATAAGTCCAGATACTAGTGGTTGGTAGAGAAGTCAATAGACAGAGGAGGAGTGTTCCTTTGGTGAAGACAGTAAAAAATGAAGCATCTTGTCATTCGTTTGCTGTGCTGTCTGCCAGTTTGCTTGGCTTATCCACTGGATGGGACAGTGAAGGAGGACTCCAAGATGGATCTTGTCCAGGTAAATGAAGGTGGAGCCATGCAGCCCTGGCAAATAGAAGTGGGGGAAGCAATGGTGTCTCCTTGGTCTCTCCACAGGAAGCACAATTACTCGATCAGAACTTATTGTATTGAGATAACTTAGGATCAGAGAACATTAAAGTGTTACAAGTGGAAGGTTCCTTCATTTTAAGAGATTTTTTTTAAGCTTGGGGAAAAAAGATCACACTATAGAATAATAGAATATAGAATAATAGAGGCAGCATGTTGTCAAAAAACTTACAAAACTTCTCTGGCTCTAGAATTTCTTTAGTTAAAATAATTGCAAGGGGAAGGCAGCATGCTAATTTTGATCTTATGATAATATCAAGTAATAATGTTTTATTGTTGCTGGTCATGTTTGGACAAGTCTTTGTCCGATTTAGTTCCTACCCAATTTATATTAACCATATGAAGTCAAAAGGTTAGATAAATGCCCTCAAACTATTCACACAATTAGGTTTTACTTTAAAAAAAATACTGTATTGAAACTCTCAACTTCAAAGTCCATACTTGGCTAGCAAACTAAATTGTAATGCAATTTAAAAATTAGTACAAAGATAACATAATGAAATTGGGATTCATTATGAAAACTCAAATTACATGTACTATTTATTTGTTTCAATACACTAGACAACACAGAAGACAATGAAATCTAGGCAGCTATAAAAATTATCTAATCTGTGCCTATTAATTCATAAGCAATACCTAGAAAACTACTACAATCTAGAAAAAGATCTGAAGCAGTCTGTGAGAAGAAAGGACAGCAACCCTATTGTGAAAAAAATACAAGAGATGCAGAGGTTCCTGGGGCTGAAGGTGACTGGGAGGCTGGACGCCGACACCATGGAGGTGATTCACAAGCCCAGATGCGGAGTGCCTGATGTCGGGGACTTCTCTACCTTTCCTGGCTCGCCCAAGTGGAAGAAAACTCACCTTACTTACAGGTAATGGGTCCAAAGAGGTTGTTTACATAAGATGAAAACTTCATAAGTTACTGCTGCGAAAGGAAATGCTCTCTCCTCTGTTTGTCTTGTACAGGATTGTGGACTATACGCAGGATCTGTCAAGAGATGCCGTTGATGCCGCCATTGCGAAAGCCCTGAAAGTCTGGGAGGAAGCGTCTCCCCTGACCTTCTCCAGGGTGCATGCGGGAGAGGCTGACATCATGATCTCGTTTGCAGTTAGAGGTAAAAACAGCCAACCAATCGTGAACTGTATTCATCGATCTGGTGTGGTTTTATTGGAAAATGGCCAAAAATATCCTAATTACCTACCTATCTTTCCAGCTTGAAAATAGATAGATAGAGATAGATCGATAGATAAATAGTTAAATATTCTTCCTTTCAGAGCATGGGGATTTTATCCCTTTTGATGGACCTGGGAAAGTTCTGGCTCACGCCTACCCTCCTGGACAAGGGATTTACGGAGATGCTCATTTTGATGATGATGAACAGTGGACAGAGGACACATCAGGTCAGTCATAAATCCCTCAGGATGCTTTAAAAATAATGCCTTGTCAAGAATTTGATGTTCCTGAATGAACAATGAATAGAATTTTCTTTTTCTGGCTTTCAAACATTAAAGTATATTTCTCATTGATGCTGTATGTCCACTTTAGATCAGCTGGAGCTCTATTAGTTCATAGTAAGAGTTTTGTAAATATTATTATTTCCAGGAACTATGCTGTCTTTTTTATCTATTATCTCAAATCTATACTCACAGTGATCATGAGAGGTAGTTATGGTTATTACCTTCATGTTACAGATGAGGAAATTAAGGCTTAGAGAGGTTAAGAGAAATTCTGAATTTTCTCAGCAATTAAAATTTCTGATTACCCGAGTGGTAAACAGAAACACTCTTAGTTTCAATCCTTATTGAGCAATGGTACAAAATATCTGCATTTCTTTATCTGCCTCATCAAGTACATTTTAATAAACACTTCTGTTTTTCCATAACCAAAGTACTATCCATAGATTAGAAGTGTTTTTTTCTCCTCTAAGCTAATACTGAAGGACTATTGTCAACTATGTGTTATTACATATAGTATTTTTCAAATGGCTTTGGAAATTTGGCAACATTCTTTTGGATAAAATACTATTTTTGAGATTAGTTCTGGTATTTATTATCTTTATTACAAATACATATGTGATGTTTGTGTTGCTGAAATGGTATACTTTTATTTGAACCAATTTTGATTTTTACATAATTGCTTGGAGATTTGGTTAAATAGTTTCCAAAGCTTATTTCAATACAACTCTTTTTATATTATGAAGATAAGCTGAAGCCAGCGAAATTTATGCAACATAAAATCATTAGGGACATTTTTCTTTTTTTAAATGGAGGATGGTGCACATAAAGTTTCACCTACTACAGGGAAAATCAAATACATGAAATCACACAAATAAAATTTAATAATTATTTCATTATGAGGAAGAGGAAAAAGAGCAACTCAAGGTAAATCTCCATGGAAAGTAACAGAATTTTTGTAGCTCAAGGATTTGAAGGATCGTCCAGAGTCTTCAAAGCTTGAGAGTGACCAGCTAAGCCACAACTATTGGTCTCTACTCGCCTGGAGGAAAAGATAAGAAAGGAAATGAAAGAGCCAAAGAAGTTAGTCTACAACACAAATCATCTAGGCCAGGGGTCAGCAAACTGTGAATCGAGAGCCATATGCAGCTCTTTTGGTATGTACATGTGGTTCTGAAATAAATATGAAAGTAAAAGAATCATGGTTTCATTTATAAAATTTTAAAGGATATTATCCAGATAATGGTGATTTCCTTTGTTTGTAAAAACATACTTATGGCTCTTGAATAATTTTTGAATTGCGCTGAGGGACATGTTTGACTCTCTCATCCCAAAAGTTTGCCTACCCCCTGGGCTATACATAGCATGGTCTCACATATCCTGAGACCCCCAAATTAGATGATGTCCAGTTACCACTACTGACCACACTGATCAGGGCGACTGTGGAGGGACTCTCTGATAGAAAAGGATGCAAATATGGAACAGCATTTCAGATTCTAAAAACAAGTAAATAAGCAAGTAGGCTTATAGGACTGGTTGAGATTGGGACTGGAGGAGTCTCCGAACATATTGCTTTATGATATCCTTCAAACCTTGAACAGAAACTAACTCATATGGTTCTCTTACAGCTAACTAACAGATTGGCTCATAAAATAATGACTGTCACTCATAGCTACTACTCTGATCCTTTCTAAAAGCACTTGCACGAGACAAAGGCCTACAATCAATTAAACAACAATCAGATAATCAGATAAACAAAAACTAGATTCAAGGAATGGGGCAACCTTAATGGAAATAATGAGAATGTCCATGCACTGTAAAGAATGTAACCCGTGTTGTGAAGAATGTCAACAATTTGTGTAGCAATTATTGAATGGCCACTTAAACTGTTGTGTAAATCTTAACCAAAACCACAAAATATATTATTTTTTTTAACTTTGAGGGATAACATAATGCCATGTGAGTAATTTTGACTGTTTGTCATGAATACATGTTACTGAATTTGAAAATTGCCTGCCATTAATTTTAGATACAAGGGAGAGTTACCGTTGCTATGCCACCGGTGTTAGTCATGGGAGAGTGACCTGGTTTGAATGTATAGATATCAGTGAAGTCTGGAATATGTCAAATGTTGAACGAACCAAGAAACAAGGGAAAGAGCCTGTGTGATTCTTTCCAAGCCTGGCCTGCGTGTGTCCTGTAGGTGCAGTTATGGAATGAAAGCTGTCAGATTCTGAGCATTTATGATTTTTTAAACAGGGATCAATTTATTCCTTGTTGCTGCGCATGAACTCGGCCATTCCCTGGGCCTCTTCCATTCAGACAAGCCTGAAGCTTTGATGTACGCACTCTACAAGCCACCCACAGACATAGGGCGGTTCCGCCTTTCTCAAGATGATGTGAATGGCATTCAGTCCCTCTACGGTGAGCAACGCTGGGAAATCAGGTGGTGTAGCGCTTCAGGAAAGCTTGACAATATTGGCTTCAGGAAAGCTTGACAATACTGACTTTAACGCCACTTGAGATTTTTGAGATTGTTACGTAAGATTTCAACTTGAAGCACTTTGAGGATACTTGGAAAACATCATTATTGTTAGGGGTACCCCATTTCACCTATGTTTGCATCTTTGAATCTGCTCACTGTAGGACCTCCTCCTGCCTCCCCTAATGATTCTGTGATGCCTCAGGACTCCAATCCGACAGCACCCGAGTTCCCAGTCATGTGTGACCCCGACTTGTCCTTCGATGCAGTAAGCACTCTGAGGGGAGAAATCTTGTTCTTTAAAGACAGGTGAGATTGGAAAATTATTTTTTTCATCATTCTTTTGATAGACAAAATGTAAAAAAATCTTTACAGATATTTTAAATGAAAT